ATACATACATACATACATACATACCCAATGTATGCCCCACATGCGCCAGGTAGCTGTATGATCCAACCACACAGCTTCACACAAAGCTCATTCTGAGACTGAGCTGAATACAGCACCTCAGACTGAAGAAGTCTTTTGGATGAAAGTCGAAACGTTTCTACAATTTTTTTTGTTTTGTGGTTTTTGAATGTCCAGAGGACCAGATTTAACTATTTTAGATTTTTCTACCTGGATTATTGAGCATGCATCAGGATATGTTAAATGAGTAATGTGTTTAATTAACCAACAAAACCATTTCTTTGTTAGCACAAAGCTAAAAAAAACATGTTGTATATTAAACCAGCTGTTACCTTCCTGCGCCAGGGTGAACATCTTGGGTGCAGATCCTCGAATGAACCCCTTCAACAATGATTACTTCAATGGGAGATGTGACAAAGTGAGGAATCCATACAGTGGGAAGTATGACAGGCTTCCCTGGAATGTTGGTGTGCTCAACTACGAGGTGAGCCACAACAATGTCTCTTTTGTAATATGAAGTCGAATCTCCCACTAAATATTCCCTGTCCTTTCAGACTCTGGTGGAGGAAACTGTCTCCAAAGAAATCTACGAGGACACGCACACCCTCCTGAGAGAGATGCTCAAAGAAGAGACTTTTAAACTCGATGCTGGGTTTTCCTTCAAATTCAGTCCATCTGAGCAGTCCATGTCTAATACGTCTGTGAATGCTGAAGCAGGGCTTGAATATACAAAGAAACAAATGGTTAAGGATGTTACTGAATACTCGACCATTAAGGTAAATGTCATCTGCTCAATACAGTTAATTAGAAATTAAAGTATTTACATAAAAATATTAGGATTCCTTGAAGGAATACATATCATCCACCACAATTTATGCCAGTCTTAAACTTAGCTCACTTTCAGCTGAGAAATGAGGCGTTATACACAGAATAATATGATATTGTAAGGTCTTACAAGGTGTGATGGTGCTCAGAGTATGTGTTAAGGATGACTGTAAGCCACTACTACACTAAAATGTAACAAAATATCTGTAAAACAGGTTGAATTGTAGCATTTTTTTCATCATGGCTAAGGTTTGTAAAGGCCCAGTCACACAGTGACACACAGCATCAGTTTATGTCAACAAATGAAAAAAAAAAATGGCCAACACATCACATAAGTTAATTGTAAGTTTTGAATAAGTTACCAGCAGTGGAGCAATTTAACAGGAGTGATGAGTTGCTCATTATGTGGACCCCTTAGCTGAACCCCAAAATGCTAATTGAAATTATAAACATGCAGTATGCAAAGTTCACTGTGCACTCTCAAAGTCTTTATTAACATAACAGCAAAAAAAAAACAAAAAAAGCAACAAAGAACATAAGTTGCTGTCACAGTTGCCTCATACTGGACCCAGTGTTAACTGAGCTAATTTCCTCTGGAGCTCAGTCTCTCTCCTCCACATCCTCCTCCTCTGTCTCTCTTACACATGGGCCTCTCACACACCTACCTCCCCCTTAAACCTAAAGGCACAGATATTACAAAACATTGTGAACACATCTGATATAAGTTAGCAATTGTCCACTTGTTCCAACATAAATCAGCTTATGAGTAATTTACATGTAGCGTGTGAACTCATGCACAAAATAACTGTATCATACCTGGAATTTATGCCCAACTTATCAGTAACATACAGTGAAAATTTTGTGCATGTAAAAAATGATTGGCTGGCATCGGCATATGACGCTTATGCAATCTTATATCAGTGACCTGGTAACATATTCAAACAACACCTAATTTATGTGACTTATTCCAACGTGTTTGCCCTTTTTATACAATGATGCTGTATGTCACTGTGTGACAGTCGCCCTCGTCACAGTATGCTACAACATGCTCTGCATAGGTTTGGCACGTTACATTCACATTGATCATAAGCTCTGGATAAGTCAAACAATGCTCTCATGCACTTGTGGAAGTTACATATAAGTTTGGGACAAGCTGTGAATAAGATAATTATTGTTATTTATTTGTTTCAGCTCGTTAGCAATACAGTATGTATATGTCCAAACAAGTCTTCCAGGGGCCTATCGTATGTATGTATCATAGAGTGCACAGTTTTCACAGCTGGTATAGGGACAGAGTGAGAAAAGTGTATGTACACTGAAATATTCAGATTTATCAAACCGTGCGCACGCATGTTTCTGCTCACCTTTCACCAAAGATGCTCCTGAATAAGTAGTGGCGTGTTTAAACATTTTTGCCACACATGTGCAAAGAGGAGTGTGTGTTCATTCGCCATGTTTCACTCTCATCGTTGTCGTTAAATGAAGTGAACCGAGGGACGCTGATCTGCCAGATGACCACTTTTGAGTCTGAGGCATTTCCAACGTTACGCATGTGTTCAATAACACAGTTGTTGAAAACCCATAGGAATTCAGAAGCTTTAAAAAAAAAAAAAGTTGATGAGAAGAAAGACGTCTCTGTACATCTAGAAAGAGTTTCAGCCACGGTGTGAGAACATTTGATATATCTGGGCAACATTTCAGTGAAGGGTCCCATACAGCTTTCATGGCACGACTCAGGGACGACTGGGAAATACCTGATCAGTGTTTGGTTGGTGTGATCACTGAAAACATGCTGCCTCCCAGCAGCCATCTTGATTTGGGTTAAGTCCAATCAATCATAAATATACATGAATGATGACTTTTAGAAAGCTTAAATAAAAGTGTCCAGTGGTTCATGATAAATTTTGACAGACAAGCAAACACACACCACATACACACAAACAAATCACAATCACTCATTGCCTTTGGTGGCAAGTGATACAAATACTTCTTAAAATTGTATAAAAACTACACCAACCTAACTTCCTATTGTCTCCTGACCATTCAGAACAAGAGCTTCATGAGGGTAAAGGGCAGAGTCCAGTTGAGCACCTACAGGATGCGCTCCCGTGAGCTGAACATTGCTGAAGGGTTCCTGCTACACGTCAGATCTTTGCCCCTTCAGTATGAGAAGGGCATTTACTTTGCCTTCCTAGAGGACTACGGAACCCACTACACAAAAAACGGGAAGTCCGGGGGCGAATATGAGTTGATCTATGTTCTGAACCAAGACACCATCAAAGCAAAAAGTATGTCCTCAAGAGACTGAATCTTATCTAATTGTTGTTTTAACTTGTGTTATAGGCTTCTTTAGATTTGTTTGTTGGTTATTAACATGTTAATAAACACTTGTTTTGGATTTTTGCAGATATAACAGAGAGAAACCTCCAAAACTGTGTCAAAACTGGGATCTCACTAAATATCGGTGTCGTTGGTCAAGGAGATGCATCAGCCCATGTGAAACCTGAACACTGTGACACGATTGCACCAAAGGAAACAGGTCCTCTTCTTTTGTTTTTTTTTTTAAATCATGTTTTTTTTTTTTCAAAGGTACAGGGACATTTCTAGTGGACATAACCTATCTTAGATTAAATCAAATTTATTTATATAGCACATTTAAAAACAACACACTCAGAAGCTTATTGTAAAAATGTTGTACAATTGTTGTAAAAATACAATACCGATTACAAGAGGCCATAAATACAAACAAAAAGTTAAAATATGAATATATATATATATATATATATAAAACCATTAAAGACTAAAAGATAAAGACGTATTCTTACTCAAAAGTTGAACGGAATAGCAAGATACAAAATGGCTGCCACAGCTGATCAACCTTAGTTCAATTTATTTATATAGCACCAGTTCACATATGAGAGAGTCCTGTACAAAAGAGGGAACAAGTCCAAATCATAATTCCAATTCAGATCAGGATTCAAATTCAACTACAGTCAGTTCAGTTCACTACAGCTCAGTGGTTATCACTGTTGCCTCACAGCAAGAAGGTCCTGGGTTCAATCCCCAGTTGGAGCTGGGGTCTTTCTGAGTGGAGTTTGCATGTTCTTCTCGTGTTTGCATGAGTTTTCTCCTGGTACTCCGGTTTCCTCCCACAAACCAAAAACATGCATGTTAGGCTGCCTTCAGTCCATGCCTCCCTTGCAAAAGAGATCTGTGATCTCAATAGGATTTGCCTGGTTAAATTACAAAAATAATTACATTATATTCACACACAGATGCTGCACCAAGACGTCTGTCAATATCACGTTCTGTACCAGTCCATTGTGGTGAAGAGAGAGCTGAGCTGTAAAGCAAAGCTCTCTGTTTACCAGTCAGTCTACATTCCTACCCTTACCTTGTGGTAAGGATGCTCCCTGGGCGCCTCCCTAGGGAGGTGCTTTGGGCATGTCCAACTGGGAGGAGACCCCAGGGAAGACCCAGGACACGCTGGAGAGACTATGTCTCTTGGTTGGTCTGGGAACGCCTTGGAGTCCTCCCAGAAGAGCAGGAAAAGGTGGCTGTGGAAAGAGATGTCTGATCAAGCTGCTGCCCCCGAGATCTGACAATAGAATAAAAGGAAGATGATGGATGGATGGATGGATGGATGGATGGATGGATGGATGGATGGATATATTCACATACAGTATATTATGAATTGCCTATTAGTAAAATCCATCTAAGGAGGCCAGCATTTTGTCTCAGCTCTTAACTTTGTCTCAATCCTAATAGATTTTAGTTTAATCTCTGGACATGGGTAATTATTGAAAACATCCCAATTTTTTTCTACTTTAAAACTTACAGGAGCTGTTCTGTAAACTGTGATAAAACACTATATATTACCTCCTTTTGCTGCACAGCCAGTGTTGAGGGAAAGGCAGTGGTGGATAAAGTCATGACCTCGGTGAAAGGAGGAACTCTTGACAGTGCTGTTGCCATGAGAGTGAAGCTGAACACTGAAGGGATCATGGACGTTGCTACGTTTCAACAATGGGCCCGGACCATCGCAGATTCTCCTGCACTCCTTAACAGCGAGGTAGGAATGATGGATTGAATGTGTGTTGCCGCAGGTGTTACTTAAAAAAAAAAAAAGACATGTCAAGACATTGAGACCGTAATGTGAAATTCAAGATGAGCAGCAGAAAAGTCTCCTTTCCTCAAATTTCCTCAAAACCCGTAATTTAAAGTAAATTTTGGGAATAAACTTAAAAGTCTGGGGGCACAGTGGCTCAGTTGGTAGAGCTGTTGCCTCTCAGAGAGAAGGTTGCTGGTTCAAATCCCGGCCTGGGACTTTTCTGGGTGGAGTTTGCATGTTCTCTCGGTTCATTAGTTGGTTTCCTCCCACAGACCAAAAACATGCATGTTAGGCTGATTGGTGACTCTAAATTGTCCCTAGGTGTGAGTGAGAGAGTCATGGTGACTTCACACACCAGACAGACTTTTTTCTTCCACTGTGTTATCCTCTTTTACTGAATAGCTGTTGATCCACAAAGAGGGAAAAGACTGAGAAAATTAGAACTCATTGAAGAGAAGAGGCAGGAGTTTTACTGAGACACTGAGAAGAAAACTAGATGTTTATATCAAGACTGGATGCGCTCATGTGTGTTCATTCTTCACATGTGTCCCTTTTCCATTAGTAACTTTAGTACCAGTACAGCACGGTTCGGCTCAGCTCGGTTCCATACACATTGTGTTTCCATAGCTCCTTTCAGCACCTGTTCCTGTGGGCGAGGTTCAAATTGACATCACATCACGCGTCTCACCAGCTAGTGACGGTGAGAACCTGGAATAGATTGCAGTACAGGGTGAGCATTTATTTTGAAGTTTCTGGTAAATTAAAAAGAATACAGATTATTAAAATGATCAAATTAAACTATAT